CTCCCAGTGTTGTTTCTGATATGTATTTTGCTGCAAGAGAGATATTAGAAGCTAGACTATTCAATCAGTATGAGGTCTCAAATTATGCACTGGAGGGATCTCAAAGTATTCATAGTTTGAATTACTGGCTAGGGGGGAATTACTTGGGTATAGGACCCGGTGCACACTCGCGCTATCAAACCAATGACTCGCACAGCTGGACTTCAAGTATTAACGCATTGACACCACGGCAATGGATGAATGCTGTTCAAGAGAAAGGAAATAGTATGAAACTAGTCAAGAGGCTGACACCAAGGGAGAGATTTAATGAAATACTGGTAACCAGTCTGAGGACTCAGTATGGGCTGCAACGTGAACATTGCGAGGCATTTAACATTAATTTTGATGAACTAATACATCTTCTTAATGAACATCATCCTGAGCTATTCACTGGTGACTTATTGAAATACTCTACTACTAAAATTAGTGCTACTACTAAAGGAGTTGCTGTACTAGATGCAGTTTTGACAGATCTTTTGGCACCTATTGATAACAATTATTATCATGCATATAAATAATTTTTGTTTGTGAGATAAGAATATTCTAGGATTAAAAATGAGTTTATAATAACAACAGATTTGTAAGTGATTTCCCTATCATACTATAGCTTTAGTTTCATTTAAACACAAATGAGGCAACCCTCTCCACAGCAGTATGTCATCCTTGCACACAGTACTACAAATCACTCCCTTTCGTTTCAAATTGTCAAAATACTTCATCATTAACTTGTATGATAGTCTATGAGGAATATGGACAGCAATGTATCCACGGCTACACTTTGTGCTATGCTGCACAAATATGCGCCCGTCATTAATCCTGTGTATGTTATAGGGAGCAAGCCATGCTCCTAGTGATACATCTTCACATGAATATATTTGTAAACTGTTAGCATTCTCTACTAATAAACCTACAACATCCTGTGACAGTACATACATGCCACCGTATGCATATGGATAATAGACATCACAGAGATTCCAATTAGTTTCCTTCCATCTGCCATCCACCATAGGTGGATTTCGGCACGAGAATCTGCCCCAGTAGATCCTTTTACGTGGATAAAATGAGCTATTTAACTCTGAAAGGATGACTGGAGTGTTAAGAAACACATCGTCATCAGTTTTAAGCACATACTCAAACAGGTAATGATTATATATGTGGATCATCGAATGAAGTGAGCGTAGTGTTAACTCTGCATAATCATTTCTGACATTCCAAAGTATCAAAAGGTCGCCATGTTGATCTTGTTCTTTCTGAAGGTCGTTCCTTAGGCTGGCGGTAGTTGAATTCCCTCCTATAACAAACCAGTGGGTTACATTACTTGCATTAAGCATTCTTGGTGACAGCCAAGTCTCTCTTATTGTCTTTCTACGAAGAGATTGATCGATATTAGAGTGTATTAGTATAACAACAAGATACATTGTTGCATTTGGACTCAAGCCAAATCTGGCATCTCCTACACCTTCAATTTCATCACTGATGTTGATGCTCTCATTAACAAAGTTGTTGCTTGTCAGTGTAATGTTGTTAGCTGGTTTACCTGCAAACATGTCAGGCTTCTTGCTCCTATCTGTTATGATAGAGCCGGCAGCTTCCTTACCACCAGGGCCACCAAGCTTCAAAGCAACAGCTGGAGTTTGTTGCATGTTACCAGTGATTGTGTGGGCTCGTGGCGAGTTTAAACTGGGATAAGGTGTGGGAGAAAAGGAGAGGAGTCTTTTGACTCTCTTTAGCGGACTGTCCAGCTCGCTCTCCTCTTCGTCTGTACTCTCGTTATCGCTCGCTAGGACAGTCAGGTATAGCATACTGAGGATTGAGAGGAGGATTATGCCCAACAAGTAGACAAAGAGTCTGTTAGTAGTACAGATCCTAACGAAAGCCTTCATCTTCTCTCCTTTCTTTTTCTCTGGCAAAGCATAGCAAGATTACGCTTTCTAGCTATGTTTATTTATTGGTGGTTGACACGCCCACATTCCAAAGGATATCATGATTTCACTCTTATAATAATTTGATGCAAATCAAGAAAAACGATACAAACAAGACGGAATGTTTTTGAAAATTTAAGAAGAACAATAATAACAACAACACCCATAATAATAATAATAATAATAATAATAACAATAACAATAATAATAATAATAAACTATATAAATTTGACAGTAGACTAATAACGACTATCTTGGTGGTAGCCACAGTAATACAAAGTTATTGTTATGATCCTGCCATGAATCGCCTCGTTTCAAACTAGAAAGTCCCTCAAACCCATGCCCAATAGTCACCAACAGCTGGCTCTGTGATCCTATGATCCCGGATTTGATTTCAGCCATTTCCTCCTCATCCAGTAATTCTTTATAATACTCTATAGCATTGTTGCGTCCTATGAGTGTCGGGAGCCAGTGTCTAGGAAAGACTCTACAGCCGAGCTTCAAGAGTTTATAAATCCCGCGAGACTTGGAGTGAGCAGAGATAGGAAATAGAGGAGAGCTTATCTCTTGCAATGAGTTTGAGAGCGAGAGAGTTACCACTTCACCGCCTCCTGTGCTCATGTATAGCATGCTACCCATAGACATCACATCAGTCACTATCAAATAGAAACAACAAAAAGTTTATCAATGCGTTATTCCATTAGCAGAGACTAAACAAAGGTAGCCATAGCATACACAGCCACTGGTAGTACAAGCTGGTACACACACACAAGTTTAACACTGTTGCCAACTGATCAAGGAAAGAATTATTACAGTATTCAAGTGAAAGCCATAGAACTATATGTACATGTACATGTATACTATACAAACATACAAAAGAGAGAGGAGGGAGAGTGGAGGAGTGAACAAGATGATAATACATGTACATGTATACATTACAATCGTACACTATAGCTCCCACTACACCCATACATGTACATGTACCACAACATAACCCTAGCTCTATATCATCCCTTACCTTTATCCGTTGTAAACTGATCGTACTTGTGCGATGCAAGTAGCTTATGATTGTTACTAGACTCCCATATGTAGAGGACACAGCCAGGATAAGAGAACCCACAGACTACACTTCTTTCATCCCTCCCTCCTAACTTGACGCAAGTCATGTGACTCAAGATGTCAGTCTTGTTGGTCTCTGAATAAGAGCGTGCCTGTAGCTTCTGACAGTGAGAAATAACTGATGTTCTTATCTCAAGGACAGTCACAACTTCATTAGAAGAAGAGATCCACGTGTAGGCAGTCTCTTCATTTGAAGAGAGAGTCAATACACTGCTCAGTGGGGTCTTTAGATTAAAGACACACCGTACTGGTAGCTGTGTAGCATTGACGTGAGCATCAAAATGAGACGTGTCTGGTATCCTACGTTCCGATAAAACTTCATCTAATAGCATCAAATAGCCGTCCTTTCTAACTACTAATACCTAGAAAAGGAGGGCGTGTATAAAAGACAGTGTTATAATTAAACATGTGAGTAAATAAAGAATACATACATGTACATACAGTTACTAGTAATACAAGGAAAAGAAGGAAACCTTATAGAACAGAGATAAAGTTTGATTATATACACTTATATACACTTCTATAACACAAATATTGTCTCTTAATATCCTCTCTCAGTTCCCTCCTACCTGTCTCAGTTTAGTTAAGTGACTAATATGTATGATCCCCTGATCGGCCTTCAATGATAAATACCTACTGAATGACTTGTCATGATTAATAGCACTGTATAGTGTAATGCAGCCGTCCTTGGCCCCCAGCCACACCTGCTCGTTAACACAACACATTGCAGTAACAGGCGCACACTCCAAGTCTATCGAATCCACGACAAAATTAGCTCGTCCTCTGAAACTGACGAAACTCAAACGGGAACTGGCTCTCTCTAGCGTCTGGTCGTCCTTCTCTTTTGAGCAGAACCAAACCTCTTCTTGAAGGTCCCCCCGGACAACGTTGGTGTGATACTGTGAGACTGATGGGGTTAGGCTGGTCTCACTGGTGCTACCATCATCAGGTACCTGAGAGCTTATATCAATGGGTAGAGTCACAATGCAGGCTGATGTCACCTAATGTAATAATATAAGGAGAATAACAATGATTACACTATCTACATTAATTATCAATTAGTCATTCCAAAAAAGGGATAACAAATTATATAAAGTACATGCACATGTAGGTGGTTGATGTCAATTGTCAACATCAAAACTCCATTACTAAACAGCAAACAAGTCCACAAGTACATAAACACACCAAAAGCTTTAATGATCATTAGGTAAACAAATCATGGTTGATGTCAATTGTCAACATCAAAACTCCATTACTAAACAGCAAACAAGTCCACAAGTACATAAACACACCAAAAGCTTTACACACCAAAAGCTTTAATGATCATTAGGTAAACAAATCATCCTGAGCAAGTGTTTCTCTGACAAGTGGGGGAAATAAAATTTAGAATTTTTTACAACTATCTCAATTCACACCTTGAAGTGTAAATTAAGGTGTGAACAAGCTTGTAAGATTGTTTTAATTAAATTTTTGGATCCTTGAATGAATAACAATTCATTATATACTTATATACACAATTGCCCACTTAGTAATTTTGTCATGGTACACGCACATCATATCTTAGTGCATATAAATAACAACTTGAATGAATGCAACACTGTACTCAGACATGCATATACATGTAGTTGTAATAGACAATACCTGTTGATAGCAGTGGTCTTCTAATGAATAGGCATCAACAAGATGAGGCACTGCTGGCAATGAGAGAACAGAGTCCAACTGACTGGAGGTAGGGCGGTCATGGTAATCTTGTTGCCACGCCCACCTCATAATATCCAAATAAAGTATTGGATTAGAGAGCTCCTGCAATGAAAGAAAGTACATGGACAACCATTGGAGTAAAAATGATAAACTACAACACTAAAATTACAAATCGTAGAAACAAATACAATAAATATGCTAATATTTACAAAACATGAAATATGTTATAGTATACAGTATATTATGAAAATGAAGATGCTTTACTTTGTTTTGTATTGAAGGTCTTGCCCCATCAACGACTAGTTTCTCTATTTGGTTGTGCATTAGGTTCTGACGTTCGAATGGGAACTGCTGAGCAAGCAACTCGTACATGAACATACCAAATGAGAAGACATCAACCTTCAGGGGGAATAACATGAATATTAAACACACTGAATGGGGCCAATTACGTATACAAGAAACATGCATTAGAAAATGTAATAAAATGCAAAATTTTCTTAGTTACAATTTTAATAAAATTTAGCCAAAAATCATGTACTGCATACAAAAGTATCACAATGCCAGGGTAATTGTCAAAAAATTGGCATATTTTTTAAAATGGCCATAACTAAAAAAATTAAAGTCAGAATCGGCTCAAACTTTCTATATAGCATAAAAAAATCAATATGTATCAGAAAATGTAATAAAAATTAGGAATGATTTTGGAGCCATTTTTTGGGAAAAATCCATGGGCTATAGCCTTGGGTATTTTTCAGAAAACTGCATATTAAAAAAATCAGCCATAACTCAAAAAATTGAAGTCGGAATTGACTCAAACTTTCTACACAGCATAAGAACATCAATATGCATCAGACAATGTAATAAAAATTAGGGGTGATTTAAGAGCCATTTTTTGGAAAAAACCATGGGCTACAGCCTTGGGTATTTTCCAGAAAACTGCATATTAAAAAAATCAGCCATAACTCAAAAAATTGAAGTCGGAATTGACTCAAACTTTCTACACAGCATAAGAACATCAATATGTATCAGAAAATGTAATAAAAACTGGCAAAGAGACAAAGACAAAAAGTTGCACTTTTTGTAATACAATGTATGCACATGTACATGTGTAGCTATCACAATTAAGGAGGACTTTTTTACACAAAAAATAACAGCAGTAGTACCTTTTCAGTGCAAGCCTCTTTGCCAACATATCTGAGTATCTCGGGTGCCATGAAAGCTGGAGTGCCCTTATACCCAACCACCCCACCAGGAGTGATCTTACGACTGATACCCAAATCAGTTATCTTGACGTGGACTGGGAACTTTCCCAATTTATCAAGAACAGGACTTGACTCCAGCGAGACTCGCAAGCTTTCATCAGCACTAGGAAACTCAAAGACTAGGATATTAGGACTCTTGAGATCGTAATAAACAACATTACGACTATGAAGATAAGAGAGGCCATTAGCGACCTGCCTGCCGGCCTCAACCAGTGTCCACGGACTGACTTTACTATCAGTTCTGTAATAGGACTGTAGTATGCCATGAAGAGATCCTTTTGAAGCCCATTCCAGCATGAAGCACAGTGGCTGGAGTGTTAGGCCAATGAAATTGATGATGTATTCGTGATCGAGGTCCTTCAGTAGAGCCACTTCTGCTCTTATTTCAGTGTAAGCTTTAGCTGCTGTCTCCATGTTAAAGTGCTTCCTGTCTTGCTTGTCGATTTTAATAGCAACTTCCCGTCCTTCATCATCCTAAATGGGTAAAAAATACATAAATAATGTAATAGTATAATTGTATCATTGATGAGTAATGAAACTGCATTGTTTCAACTAAAAGAACTTTTGATTTGGCCAAAATAAATTGATGAACACTATAACTAAATCATCATCATCATCATCATCAATCATCATTGTTATTATTATTATTATTAATTATAACATACAGAGGCTGATAGATGTGGATATATTGCTCCGTGATAAATCTCTCCGAAACTCCCACTGGCCACAAACTTCCCTCTGTCCACCAGTTTCTCATTAATGATATAATGAGTTGGAAGGTCACCAAAGACAAGGTCTGGAGTCAAGCTCGATATGTCCAGGGGTTGAAGTGGATGGGTAGGACACTCTAAAGTAGCTAGTCCTCTGCTGGCAGCGACACATGTCTCAATCATGAACCCAAACTTTGAAGCTTGCATCAAACCCACTCCTGTAGCTGCAGGAGATGTTTCAATGGAGGTATCATCAATGTTATCGCTAGTGTAACGTCTTCTTGAGTGCGGAGACCCACTGGCTGTGGTTTTCTGTAGACTAGGCATGAGGTCACGACGAGCCCGCGAGGCCACACCCCCAGTAGTACTCACAGAGTTGGTATCAATACTGTTTGTATTGTCTAATAGTGTGACCGTTGATGAAGGAGTAGCTGCATCCTCTTTAGTATTCATACTAATAACCGATGGCGTCCCAGTGAGTGTCTCTGGCCCGTGTGACATACTAGTGAAGACATCATTAGGAGTAACCTCAGCACCTCCGACACAATAAGGACAAGGGACAACACGGTTGACATAAGGCACAGAGTACATACCCCTACCTCCGTCCTTGCTCCCAATACCAGGGAACCAATCCTCCAGTAATGTATCAATCTGCTCCACGGTCTGGGAGAGGAGTTGAGCGCTCATCCATGAGTGCTCACGAGTAGGGAATGGCTCTTGATCAAACTCATCCTCTGCTCCTTCATCAATATTAACAAGACTAGGCAGTACTTTCTCTATAACGGATGGGCATATATAATCAGGGACTAATACCTCCAGCCCTGTATTAGGAGTCTCATCCACTGCTAGCCATTGGCCATTAAGTTGGAATGAGAGGTCCTCACAATCTTCCAGTGGTTCAAAAGGTATGCTGGGAGTACGACTGTAGCTACTGCCCTGTGCTGATGATGGAAGACAGTCTGAGAACGTGCCCTCTGGTCTTATCTCAGCTACTCTCAACAAACTGTATCCTTTGTACCAGAACTCAACCCCCGTCGTCCAGTATGACCACTCTAGCTCCACGAGGGTCGAGAGGTCTCCACTGATCATGATCCTAACGGTTTCCTCTATCTCTTTCTCGCTAAACCCGAGGGCCTTGAGAACAATGACTGCGAAATCAGACGAAGTGAGGAACCTGGATATGAGGCGAGGCCAGAAACCACTAGGAACATACTTCATGAAATAAAACCGTCTCAAAAGCAGACCAGTCCTATATAAATCAGGGGTCGTCGGTGACATGGGTGAGAATGACTTAGGGGGCAGCCTGACCATCAGTGGATCGGACTGAGAGGAATAAGGTGACATGCGGTTGTCAGAGAGAGAGGAGGAGGAGTGTATGCGTGATTGTTGGAGGAGATAAGCAATCGGAGGGCGAGGGAAGAGGGTCTTAAAGTTATAGAGAGTTTGTTTCGGAGCTGAGGGAAGCATCGAGGGGACTAGCATGCGGTTCCTGTCCAGGAGAAGGGCCACTTCAAATTTACTGAGCAATTCAATGTACTCGTTCCTGAGGGTGTGGGGGAATAGCTTCCCCTTGAATATGTGAGATAACACTGATGTCTTCAATATACCTGCTTCAGGACCTAGAAATAAATATGTACGTACATGTTACACTGCTTGAGCTCATTATGACTACAAGTTGAGCTGGTGTTTATCCCATTGATGATACATGTACATGTAGTCATGTGCTTACCTGATCCACGTTGTATGAACCTGTTGACTTCAGGTATGGTAACAACATGAGCAAGCATGTCACACAACCACTGAGGATCAATGAAGTAAAGATGATTGAGAGCCGGAGTAGCATAATGAAGGAGGACACCTAAATATACACAACAACAATAATAATGAAACAATAAAATTAGAAGAATTATAACATACATGTGTACATGTACATTCATTTTGGACTGTTATAAAAAAAACTAGATTTTATCTCTCACCATTTTCATGAAGGAACGTGACTGCTTGGTTGAGCTCCCTTGGGTTGGGTATAATATCTTGGACTGCTTCAAAGAACTCTGACTCTTTCATCACTGGAGATACATCAACCTCAGATTGGCACTTCACCACAAGCTCCCTCATCCTCTCCTCCAATCTCAAGTATGAGGATGGAACAGGTTGCTCTAACAGTTTAACCTTATTACCACCAATAGCACCTGTAGTTAGACAAAAATAACACATTTTATGTAATGTAGTTAAGATTTAAAAATGATTTACTGCTTGCTATAATGACTGTATAGCTGAGGTTAGCAGGGTTAATGGAATTTATGAGTAGCTAAACCATGCTATCATAATATTGATAGAAATAAAATACCCGCAACTCCTTTCCATTTCAAGTCAATTGTTATTAAGAGAGAGGGAAAAGCCCAAGCATGTATATGTACATGTACATGTACATCAATAGTAAGTGCTACGCATTTACAAAGAGATATAGCATTGTAATTCACAAAAATCTTATCTCTATTCATAGGAATTTTTTTATGAAACTTTTTTCAAACTAAGTAGAGCCATTTGTGAGTTCTTTACCTTTTTTACGAGGAGCAGTGAGAGAGAATGCCACGTCCCACAGTGCCACTCTTAGCTCTGAGACTCCCTCAGCTTTTCCGCTGGTAGGACATCCAACAAACCGAACCTCTTTGATCTGAGGAAGGCCCAAGTCTCTTAGCTTCTGAGGATTCTTGCCAACTTGATATTT